TATTCTTACAGATGGTATTTGGAATGCCATTTTTTAACACTTAGTATGATCAATTACACGCCGTGAGGTTCTGTCCGAAAACATCTGAAGACCATATGTGACATGGTTTGACGATCAGGTGCCACGATACTGTGAAATCAGAATCGCGCCCTGCAGCCTCATCACCGACGCGTCCGATCGATATAGGTTCATCTCGTAATCAGAGGGTTTGCACGTACATTATAGGTAATTATATATAACGGTAAGAGCAGAAACTTCAGCTATGTGTAGCTGCAGCAGAGAATCATAGGTTTGTGACTAACAGACTAAACGCTGGGGTGGTTGGTTTCAGTCGACGGCATGAAGATAATTATAGATGACGGGCTTTAGTAGATGATAAATCTCGTCACGTTAGCTATGGTGTATCTATGTGTGTGGCATATATACAGTTATCATGTAAAAGAAGATACTACAAGTTTGAGACAATTTAAACATATAATTATCTGAGTTATAATTATATGAGTTATTGCAACTGATTTCACGTGTTTTTATAATATATTATAAAATAATACATTATTTTATACATAGAGTATGAAATTGTATGCGTTCTAATATATAATTTATTAAATGAAGCAATTCTTTTTCTGATTTGGTATCACGATTTGTGTTTTCTAATTCTCTGTATTTCAAAATATTAATTAACAAAATCAATTTCTATTTTGACATAATGGTACAGATCGATGTCAAGTATTGGCTATAAAACGTTTGTTATAACCTTTTTATGTATTTTGTTGTCAGCTTTTCTTCTTCTTCATCGAAATCCTCATACTTGTACATGGATATACTTATATAGATTAATACATTATTAGTATTTGCTTACATTTTAGTGTATTGATACAAACCTGAACGTCGATATATACGTTAGCAATAAGATTAAAGGTTATATACAGTAAACACATTTCTACTACGAGCCTGGGTTTTGCTAATTTCGCTGAAAACATTTTTGTGTACCATGTCTCACGAAAATGAAATATTTCTTGTCTAGCATGTGTTTCCAGGGATCTAATGAAACTCTGTAGTGTTATCAATGTTGTCTTTAGAAAACAAATATCAGACCCTCTAGAGATCTAAATGAATGTTCACGGACGATTTACTCCTAATAGGCTATTTGCGTTGGTTTTGTATTGTTTTATTGCTTTACACAGGAGGTTATAAATTGATTTAAATGTGGAATGGGTATTACAATGCTACGTATGACTTATATAAAAAATGCAACATTAGCAAAAAGGAAAAACACCACCACGGAAAGATTTCCTGTGTTCACACATGTTCGAGAGTACTATAACACAAGCTGTGTGAGTTGAAATAATTCACAATTCTGATTTCGCTATATATAGACTGTGGTCATAAATAGGTAGCTGAAGTATATTCATAGGAATACCTCGCCTTCTGTCTCTCTTGGACTAGTAACACTCGACAAGTATTCTGTACAAGACACATCACATTGAAGACAAAAATAGGTACGATACTATTCTGTAGTAGTCAGTAGTTTTAATGAGTGTGCCTATTTCCTTTGCGCTATCGAATACATAACGCATGACAAATATGATATTGTACCCCATAGATATTTCACATGGCAAATATACAGATCTGCCACCATATAGAATGGGTCAATGAAATAAAATCGGTTAGAATGAATACGTAAAAACATGACCGAATTTTAGTCTTTTTAGGAATTATCAATATTCATGAATTCAAGTTAATATTTTTGAAATGAGCTTGAAACAAAAATACACCCAGAAATGAAGGATGTACAGATTTGGGTTGATGAATTATGTTTCGCTCCAAATTAACAGACGTTTGGTTACATGAAGGTAAATATAACGAGGTCCAGATTAAATAAATAACACATTAAAAAGTAATTAGAAATATATACTTTCGGGAACGATTAAAGGATTGAAGCTAGTGCATTATGCGATATCTCTGACAGATTTGGTGTGTGTGTTGGTAGATTTTTTTAATCACCATTAGATATCAAAATTTGTGAAAAGAAAAAGAGATAACATATAGCGATATGTACAGCTGTTGTATGTTACCACGCTTTGTTTAATTAAACATCAAACGGGAAGCTGTTGATTGCAGATCATTTTGCGATATCAAGGTTGAACTGAAATCTAATACTGACATATTATCCAACTGACGAACAACTGTTTGTGGAGCGGTTAATAGTCAAGCGATGTTCGCTACAACCTGTGACAGGATTGCTAGCATCAGTGGTATTGATTTATAATTCTATAGCAATTCTAGTTATTTCTAATTTCATATTTATTATGATATTTATCAGTATATACCAATACGTTAAGTTGTAAGGTAACAGAAGAGTAATAAAAGGGGAGGTAGGTATGTCATTTACAACAGATTTCTCTGTTTTAGTGCGTAACCATGTGTGACGCTTGTCACCATACCAAAAGAACATAAAGTTAAGCTTATCGTAGCTAGGGGAGAGAGTGTGTAACGTGTGGAAACTGTTTCAAGCTTGGGGTTATATATCTAGCCAGACATCAACCGTAAATTAATACAGGGCAAAAGAGATATTTTTTATTTATGTTGCTATACTTAAAATTACGACTGTGTTTTTCTACTAATGTGACGTATTGACATTCCTATGGGAGAGTGTCGAGTGGACCAAGTGTTATAAAAAATAACAAATTAAAGGTGCGCCATACATAGCACATAACAGGTGTATGCAGCATCCTACTCGGTTATTCATGCTTGACATCCAGTTGGTAACCGTGTACCATACACTCTACATCGTTGATGCTGCCTGTTAGACTCTAGCCTGAAGGACAATACTTTATAAAAAAGTTAACTATATCAGCTATATCGAGCTTTAATATAAACTCAATCCGTTTAAAATTATATTATTTTATGCTATAAGCCAAAAAAGTTTTATATCAGTTTTGTTCCATCGTGGCTTTTTAGTAGACTCTTTTTTACAACATACCATCAAAAAAATAATACGATTTGAAAATAAATATGTTTTCGTGTCATTCAATTCAGTTTGATGGAAAACACATATTCATTTATTTATTAGAGAGTGTATTTACTTCGCGTGCTTGTATGTGTGTGTGTGTGTGTGTGTGTGTGTGTGTGTGTGTGTGTGTGTGTTCAGTGTTCTGAAAATCAAAGGTCATTTAAAATATCCTACAGTTTCAAATATTTTGGTCAAAGTTTATTATTAAATGGGTTTTTTATTGGTGATTTTACGGTTCTAGAACATGTTTGTTATATCTCAAAATTCATTTTTTTTTTACTTTAATTTCTTATATAAGTTTTTTTCTAGAATTTAATACGTTTAGTTACTTAATCTTCCCGGATGAAAAGGAGAATAAATTATTCTTAACAAGTTTTGATTTATATCATCAGGTTTTACTAAATGAATGTTGCATATGCTGGCTGGCTATATCATATTAACTGTTTTCTGTCTAGCAATGTGTGATAAGTATGGAGGTCATGTGACCAGTCTTAAAAAGAAACATGCAACCCTACAAAGAAGAAAACCGAGTATGAATGGACACCCAAACAACACTAACGCTATTGAAAGCATTAGCTGTATATAACCTGTATTAAATAACAAGGGAAAGTTTTAATTTTCATTGTTAATATTAAAGTTTATTCTGTCAATAATTAAAATAAAACGTTGCCTTATCTCAACCTTAATTTCACCAAAAACTGTGTTAAAGGTTGACAAATGAGGTCAGCTTAGGTAGCTGTATCATGTAGCAGATAAACGACTCGGTATTTGATATTAACAATCACTCATTCGTTCCTAAACTGTTTAACGTTAAAACCCGCTCACCCAGGAATAATGAAAGTAATTTTATAATTTAACTTGAAAGGATTAACCAAAGTTTTCCGAAAAGGTTAGATTGGAACAGGTCGTATTGCTACCATTAAAATATCCATTTCAAAGTTTTGTATTATGTTCTGGTTTTGTTACATGACTCAAACTTATACATTATGATCTATATTACCATAAAACTGATTACATATCGTTCAGTATAAATACTTGATAAATCATATATTAATTTTCATAACACAAATGATATTATAAAATAATTAATTGTCTTTCGTAATAAAGAAAATATGGTATAAACTAATGAAATTGTTGTGAAAAGCACTGTTCGTATTCGTGAATATACTAATTCATTTCGAGATATAAATATACATATACATATATTAACATTTATGCACGCTATTATATATTAATATTGATGAAATGTGAATATGCAAATAAGCTGGAGTGAAGGAAACAGAGCAATATAATCTTCATGTATGTTGAAAGTAACATGTGAAAGTTTCTACGAAAATATCGCCTGTTTGTATGGTCGGTCTAAGTCATATATATATATGTTGCTATAGAAATATTTTTTTCAATAATCACCTAAACATTTAAACAAAATAGACTTGGAGCACGTCGTTATTATATAATCACTCTTACTACATAAACGTCACTTCATTATCGAGTATTTGTCATTCAAATGTAAACATTCGATTTGATGTCATAAAAGATATTGACAACGTAATTACAATATGAAAAGCGCGTGTAATTATTCAATTCTGAATAGAATTGTAATTATTCGTATGATTTAAAATTCAAATAGAAAGACATATTTCCATTGTACGCTCCGACGTAAGTATAATGGGTTATACGAACATGATTTGAATTTAAATAGAAAACATTACACAAACTTCAGAATCAGAAACCGTTATACTCTTTATACCATAGACATATTGTCAGTTGCTGGAACACAAAATCACGGCCGGTTTCGTATAAATATTATTGATCTAAACTGCTGGAGACCGCTTAGTATGCGTGGCGTATTTGTATTCATTTCGGCAGCTCATGAAAATTCCAATTTAATTTTCCTCGGGAGTGAAGGGCTCTACTAGATTATGGTCAGTTTTAAAATCCGCCGATTATTTTCCTTTTAGCAATTTCTTGTGCCGTTGTCCTAATCTGACATTCATATTATTCATGAGAGTAGTAATTCATATTGTCCGTGCCCGAAAATTGGAATGGACTTACAAGGCTGAAAAACCTGTTAATCGCTGTCTGCTGAATTTTAACCGCTTGCTTCTCGTAATCTGAGCCGTCAATCGCCTCCAAATAAATTCATGTATTCCTCTTACTTTGCTGGTATTTCAAATCAATTCGTTGCCGATGGTGGTTTAGGGAGAATGGCTGGAGAAAGCAGGAGTTTACGAAAAGGAAAAGATGGATATATATTTACTTACAGGGACCTATTTTGTTATTGCAGATTGGAGTTTCTGATACTGCACAGTTAGTAGAGGAACTACAGGAAGGTAGAAGGTAGGTGTCTATCCACATTCCTAAATTAGTCATCACAAGGATCTTCCAATTTTCCTATAAGCGCACCGACATGAACATTTCATGTCCTAGTTGGATGTGTCATTATAAACAGAAATCTGTAAAAATATAAACACGTCAGCTTAAAATCTGCCCTAGATAATCATAGTGAGCGGTATAAACCTGCTTTGCTTTGTCATACAGAAAAAAATATCAAATCTGTTTTATTATCATTATTTATTCTTAGTATTACATTTAAATCATGGTTGTGGTTAAATTTAAAAATACACTTGTTGTCGGTGAAACCAACAGAGCAAGTAGCATGTTTTCTCAGAGAGGGCAGTTTTATTATTATTTAACAGAGATATTTTTCACGGACCGTCTCATGTAAGGATCCAAGCATTAAAATAGTTCGGATAGAACAGTGTTATGGTGGGAGTCATTAGGTACATCTATATTTCATCGATACTCCAATAAATATTTTACATTTTTGGGGACCTGTACGTTTGGTTTTTTAAATTTTGAATTTGCTGTTGTTGACTTATGTAGACTAGAATTGCCACCTGGGGCAGTACATAAATTCTACTACACATTACAAACGAGTGTATGTGTGTGTATGTGTAATAGAAATAACAAAAAATATCTACATAACAATACCCCGGTGACAAAGTGTTTCAATGTATTTATACGTACATCACATATGTACCGGGTGGTCGAGATACAATTATCACTTCTGTACCCCAATACCTCTAAATCAATGCCCAAGTTGGTGAGATTTGTTTTTTATGGATAGTGTTACCTTGTTTATATGACTTCTTTAGTACCCATAAAATGATATCATTCACGTGCGTTGATGATAAACGCCACACGATACCCTAATACACTTCAGTGCGGACTCATTTCATTATCACAACGGGACCATTTCAGCCCGTAGCAGGACGTCTAGCTACTCATCTATTTTTATATTTATTTCTGATTCAAAACAAAAATTAAACTTTGGATGATGTTGATGTATTCCAAGTATGTATAATTCAAAATAATTATGACAATATGATTTAGTTGTTTATTTTAGTATGTACTGATTTAAATGTGATTCATGGTTTTTAACACGGACTGTGCTTTTTATATGAATATTATGATAATATGGAAAACAAGAGAATTGTGAAATCACATCTAATTTATGTTCATATTCATTTCATTCAGAAGTCAGGATTTCAGATTCAGAGAATAAAATTAAACAAAAGATTACAATGAAAAATATAATATAATATTTTTTTCAAATATAATAAATTATATAAACACAATATTATTTAAAAAAAAATCATTATTATAAGAATCAATAATGAATATTTTGTGTCATGTTTGTTTTGAATTATAGACTTTGCTTGTTAAATGATATATATATAGCTTTAAAATGAAATATGCTTAGTATTTTAATATGAAATTTCAAACAAAATTTTACAAACCAATTATATATATATTCTTTATCTATATAATTAAGAATTCGAGACATTTACGCATTTATGTGTTTAACAGAAACACGAATTATTGAAAAAAACTAGATACAAATTTAAAGAAATATGAATTTTCAAGTGTGTGTATTTGGAATTATGTTGAAAAAAATAATTTAAAAAAGAAAGTAAAAAAATGTTTAAGTTATGTGATAACAACATTACGACGAATTGCATTTCTTCTAACGAACAATACACGTGTTAAAAATCATGAGACCATTCACAAATATCATCGGGATGTAAATGAGGTGATGATCTTTGCATGAGTCAAAAGTTTTCACAGACGGGCTAGGAGGTAGGGCAACTTTTACCATACAGATATATCGAATATATGTCAGAATCGTCTAAAACAGCGTTTAAAGTATAGACTAAATGTTGAACTTTCCATTTCATCGACGCTATCACTGGCCTACATGGCTATCTTAATGAGAGCAATTAGCCTTAATATCCTAGAGTCCTTTGCTTGGTTGGAGCTAATGTCGGTTATCAATTCTATATCAGTTTAATATTTCCGCACAATTTGACGATATGAGCGGCGAGTATTTCCAAATTAAGTACTTCACGCTTGAATGCTTATACAAAAATGTAATTTACCACCCCTAGAAACACTGCTAGATATGTATTACCGGCAGGCAGAGAGGCGATTACAGATGACCCTGTATGCAGAGTTCTAATGAACTAAACAGCGAGAGCATTTACTGAAAAATAAAAAGGTCTGTTTCTTTTGGAGAAACATCCCCTGGACGATGTTTGTAACACACGTAGGGCCTTCGGGAGGTATGAAAACAACTAATTTCTCCTCCATCTTGTGATATTTTTGCACTGGCAGGATAGCAATAATAGCCGCCATGGAAATTGCTTCTATCAAATATCCATTTTATCCCTTCTGACAATCCATCAAACCCTACGTGGACGTTATCAATTGAACTCACTGAACAAAAGAATTTGTGTCATTTATCAGCTTTGCCCAGGAAAATATCCCTGACTTTCTTCTGACAGCTGGGTTTTCCAATAACTTTTCTAAATCCGCCACTTTTGTGCTCCAACAAACACACTCAAAAATTGCACGAAAAACTGTTCTCTTCGTTGATAAAGTCATTTATCGGGGAATTTGTTCTCCTGACCTTCATCTTCGTTGGACTGTCTGAACATTAGATGTGATTGTGGTGCACTTTCTGTAGCCGCTAGAAGTACTGGCATGTCACATTATTCCCGCTATACACTGCACCAGTGTCTCTGCATCCTCAATATCGCTCTCATGTTTAGAAACAATTTTTATGCACAGAACTACAAGTCTTCTATACACAAAATAAATGTGTACAATGTCTTTATACATGAAAAGATATAAACAATGTTTGTGCACATAAATATATTTATGTAATGGACGTTTACTTGAAACGATAAATACACTATATGTTTACATACATGACAGGATAAGTATTAAGTTTGTATATATACAATGTAAGTATACATGAAAATATCTATACAATGAAAAGAATTCATATGTACATTTAGATTTTTACATTGTATGTGAAGATATATATTTATATATAAATATATTTATAATGTATGTTATACTGAAAAAGCTTAATCGATGTTTGTGTATACAAAATTATATTTACAGTACATGTTTATATGAAATAATATGAACACTGTATACTTGAAAATATGTATATACATGTATTAACATGTAATACAATGAACTTCAACAAGATTCATTTCTATATGACGTCGAATGGTTTCCGTTACAAAAATAAAAACACTTTATACCAAATTTTATAATATTGGAAATGTATACAAATGGATAAAAATAAAATCATGTTTCATTAACAACTTTCATCATTGAAAAACCAAAAAAATACAATATTACAAATATTTTACTTATGACATATTAAAATCATAATAATACTATGCTAGCACCATCATGGGTAAATTAGTAAACTATTGGTTCAAATATTCATTATTTTGAATACCTACAAAATCAGCTTAATAAAGAACTGAACATTGCATATAGATTCGACAAAATGTTTATGTATGCTTGCCTATCTTAAAAGGTGGATACTTCACGTCAATACTATACTTTGATATAACACATGTTTGATGCAAATAGTTATCTGTAATCGCAAGTGGTTAGCAGAGAGGGTAAGATGTAATCAAGACACGTAGCCATCATAAGATAGAAAATCAAGTTTTATGATACGGGACTTCTCAATTTGCATAAACCTACAGTAAAGGATATTTATTTCGATGCTTGTGACTATTGATAAAGTCTGATAAAATCACGTTATTTAGATATAGAATTAGCAATATGCACTAATATATGTTAATTGGATGCTAAAAATTACTTTAAATTAAACAAAGATAATTTGATTAGCTTTGCTCAACAGGATAAAAACCTTGAAGCTCTTCAATAAAATCCAATATATGTTTCCTTGCAATTCACAAGGGTCGTGACGGAATCTAAATTGTTTACCATTATAATGTTATCAGATCGCCCCACATATTTGAATATTCGATTTAACAGGTTTGTTAAACTATTATCCAGTAATGTTGAAATTGGAAACCAATTACTCTTGTTTACAAAAAGATGAACATATTTTTGCCAAACTACATCAAGTTTGAGCTAGTGATATGTATTTAAAAGACTTTTACTATTTGTGATTTACTTTATCAGATGTTTCCCCGAAGAGAAGACAGACTATATTGAAGAGTTCCTTATAAATAGGATGTTTACAGTTTGACAAGTCTAAGAGTCTTCATTAAAATGGTCCGTCATTCAGGTTATAGATGTCGTTTACCAAATAGTCAAAAGATCTGACCTAACCGTGAAATTTGATTGCATGATTAGAGATGAAATCTCTTTAGAGGTTTATTATGCTTTTCTACCACCATCTAGTTCTTGTTTTCCCAGACAATGTAGATGTGTTTGGACGGTGGACCGTGTAGACGGCAGGTGTTGAAGTTCCGCACAGGATATACCACTGGTGTGCAGCACCCATGAAACTGCTTTTTGTAGGGTAGTTCCCGTAATTAATTTCATTTGTTCAGTATTATGCGAACCTGTGCGATGATTTAGCAAGACGATTTTGACTTATAGGTGATATCAACACGATACCTGTTGCCATACATTCATACGATGTACCATTCAGAAGATTGTGAAAAGGAAAAACGAGGTTCCTTTTCCGACGACTAAGCCTTATGACTTTTCTCCCGTCTAGGTTGTGAATAGGTTCCTGAAAAACTCATTAAGATTAACACGAAGCTGAAAATTGCATTCGTAGTACATAGAAATGATAACAAATAGAAACCTCTTTTTCACATATCTATGCTTTAATATTGACAAAGATAAAATGATATTGTATTGAAGCCTAACAGGGCGTAGCTGTAACGAAACCGGACCACAAAGCCTTAGATATAACGTTGATCCATCATTTCCCCTAGTGGCAAACGTACATTTTTAAAAGCTGCAAACATTTATTACTCTCAATGTTT